ACTATTTTGCTGGAATACCGATGTTCATAAGTAATACACTACACTTGCTATACACGCGAATTCCCTCCCCGCATCATGCATTTGTATGCCATTTGTTGTGTGGCGCATGCAGCTATGAGCGCTGGGGGCCCGAATTCGTTTGTTGTGAAGGCTCAGTCTGAGCCTCGGGGTTTGGGTCTGAATACCGCAGATGCTGTGAAGGTGGAGGAGGCTCTACTGCGTGTTGAGGAGGCTCTNGGGGTTTGGGTCTGAATACCGCAGATGCTGTGAAGGTGGAGGAGGCTCTACTGCGTGTTGAGGAGGCTCTAGATCATGAGGAAGGCCTGTCTGTGGGTTACTGCTCACGTTACTATATTCTGATCTCACCAAATACGCTATAATATTATAAGACTTGGTTAATAGAACGACTAAGACGCTACTTCTTTTCCTCTATTCAATACAAAAGAGGAGGACGATATGCTTATGTGCTACAGGAGGGCGGATCCAACTCAGAGAAATGTTCTGCTCTGATTAGCTCCGTCTTGCGTGACCCCATCAGCCCAACAAGTTCTCTGCCTCATGAAGTCCTACTGACATCGGATGCGTTTGGTTTATGTTTCCTTCTCTTGCGGCTACGTTCTTATATCAGTGCTGAGAGGGACACTGTCACAATTGATGAGTTGCTGCAGACAGTTTATATTGATGGGCTGCCGCTGGTACAACACTTGGATTTCTTGCAACAGAGACGGGCAGATATGGATGAAAGAAAGCTGCGAGTGAAACTCATAACTCCTTTCTTGCGTCTTCTGCTTCTTACTACTGTTGAGAGTCTGGGTAATAACCTAGGTGGTATCAGCTTCAGATCCTATGATGCAGAGGCCAAGATGATCTCTTTCCAGTATACACTGCAGGATGTCTCACCCCAACTGGCTCCAGCAGAAGTACTCGCCTATGCCGCCGATCTCCTTCTCGGGTCTCATACAGACAGACGACACCGCTTTATCACTTTTGCTTTCGAAGGTTCGTATAGTTTCATCAACACAACAGAAATACACAGCCCCACCACCAGCTTCATACAACTCCAAATTTGAATGTATTAGCACTGCACACACTATCATGATCATGATGCTATTCTTAGGCTAACTGAAAATCAATATTTTAATCAGTATAATAATAATTATTTATAATATTATGATTATTGTGGTTATAATTATGTTTTTTTCTCTGCAGGTCCCCAGTTCCTTATGGATTGGTACCGCTATGTCGAGCCAGAGAAACTTCGTGCTTACGTTGATGCCGCTCGTGCACAGAGGGTAACTGTGAGCTATCAAGATATGGCGAAGCTAAGCAGTGTATACACTGTAACAGATCTTGCGGATTTAGCCTTCAGTTTGCGGCAGAGTTCTAAGCTGGATGTAGAAAGAGTTGCTAGGGAGGCAGCAGTGAAGATCATGCAAGATGAAAGCAAACCCCCACTCAAACGATACGGTCTAGCGCATATGTTGGTAGATATGGTGGCTCAGGCTGCACATTTAAAACAGAAATGCCTTGGAAAAGCTCTAGAAGAATATGAAACATTCAGTAGCTCAACATTGCTAGATAAAGAACTATTCAGATATGATTGCTTCTACAACCAAATGTATGATTCCAGCTCCTTTGCTGACGTCGCACGCAGCATCTCAGAGGAGGATATTGCAGAGGTTATGGCAGC